AAATGATCTAGTTTACACTCATGACAACTCTGAGGGGGGTGAATTTTTTTCTCACTCTTCTGTTTAAGTGTATTAAAAGCCTAAAATTCTGTATAATTAATGAGCATCAGACCCACGTGACCACAGAGCTAGCTCCGTGGAAAGGCCTCAGTAGAGCCTCGGTCTGGCCTGGAAACTGCTCCGGGATTTTGAGTCTCTGTGTTTGTGTATTCTTGTTTGGATATTATTTGTGCAATTGTTGGACAAAATGACTTGCTGTGGCATTAATTGCACTAATAGAGCGTCCAAGGAGTCTCCACTTCCTTTTTTTCTGTAAGTAAAATTATATTTATGTATTTTAGGTCACTGCCGAGCTGAGCTTAGATTTTAACATGTACTGTTTAACCATGACATTTAAATGTAGTAGGGTAAAACCCAGTGCATTTAACATAATGCTGCACTTTAGAAAATGGGTTGAAATATAACATGTTGGTGGAGCTGGGTTCCCACTATCGGCTTGTGGAGCTCTCGGGGTGACGTCTGTGTTCCACCCGGTTTTACCCAGCGGTCAGCCCGGCGTATCTCTGACTCAGAAGCTCTGGTGTTGTGCACAGTTAACTCCGGTTGTAGCTAGGTTGCTACCTCCGTTAGCTTAGCTCCCACCTCCGCATTAGCTTTGGGTTAGCTTGTAGCTAGTTCGACCGGGTGTCGTCAGTTGATCCCAGCCTTACAGCCCCACCCTCAGCTCCTCCTCTCTTCCCTTTTGTGGAATTGTCTGGGCTTGACGGAACCTGTGACATGGTCAAGATGGCGGTGGTGGCCACCTCCCATTTATCTTCAAAAATGTGTTATTGGAGGCTATGGAAACCCATTGTCCAATATTTATATGTCGATGGGAACGACACATGAGAAGAGTCGGATTGTCCTGAGAGTGGTGTTGGCTCTGCTATCCGAAGATCCTTTGATGGCCGGAGCGGTCAAGACGTGATGTAAGCCTTTGTAAGAGGATTCAGGTAGAAGTGAGCCGTACCATCCAGGACTTTGTTTGCTAGTGTTAGCAATTTGAATTTGATGTGTGCAGCTAGCGGTAGCCAGTGGAGCTCAGCGAACAGAGGGGTGATGTGTTCTCTTTTTGGCTGACTGAAGACCAGACGTGCTGCTGCATTCTGGACCATCCTGGACTACAGAACATCTAGCTCCTAGGGAAGAGCACAGAAAGCGACTAGGACCGGTCAGCAGGAACCGGACCTGGAAGCCCAGCAGAAGCCGCCATCATGGTCTAATAAAATTTACAAACTCTGAGGTTTCATCAGAAAACTGGAATTCCACTGGTCTGAACCTGGAATCCTGTCAGACTGGATCTGATTCCAAACAGAGGGAAGACCGCTGGACTGGGGGGTGAAACATCTGGCAGCTGAACATCCAGATGTGGCTTTTTGATGGAAGGAGACCAAACCAGAGCTAAGAGAAGCTTTGGTTAGTGGTGAGGGGACATCTGATGGACGTTTCCGTCCACACAGAGGCTTTCAGCTCCCATCAGACTCAGTCGGCGAGTTTGATCTGAATTTACAGAGTTAACTGTGTGTGTGTGTGTTCACACAAACAACAGATCCCTCAGATTCAAACCCGATCCAGCATCAGATGATGAGTTTAATTCAAAGAGAATCAGGAGAACACGGACCATCTGCTTCCATCAGTGTTGCCATGGTAACTAGGACTGCAGCTGATTATTATGGGCTGCAAGGAGGCATGAATACGACACATCTCTGTGACTCAGTCAGTTATCTACGATGAGACTTTCCCTTCGGTCTGAAAGTGAACTTCTGCTGTAAAAGAATCGTTCAAACATACCTGACCCTAACCCCGACAGAAACAGGAAGTGAGAAACACCCTCGCCGCTTCCAGAAGATCAGAGGTTCAGCGCCATCCTCCACTCCTCCAGGAGCACACGGGCGCCGCACCAATAATAACCTCAGTTATGGGAGCGGTCGTCAAAGGAGTCATCGCTCCACAGACAAGAAGATCTGAGCCCGCTGCTGATCATTCCAGAAGGTTGTTACAGGTTGGGTCAAAGGTTAAAGGTCATGGCAAGATGATTAAGACTGAAGCTCGGTCCAAGCCAGGTCATGGAACAGAACCATGAACACAAACTGAGACTCTGAGGTGAGATGTCCAGAGTGCAGAAGCCATGATGGATGCAAGAATGGACCAGAACTCTCCAGGACCACAAGATCGGGTCAGTTACTGCTGCTGTTGGAGGTTCCGGTGGACCCAGGACTTGGTTAGTACGATCCTCCGTGGATGGATGGTGTGTGTGTGTGTGTGAAGTGACTCACACACAGCTCCATCTCTAACTAGCTGTAATGTATTGGCATCAGGTGCCTCTTCACCCTGATTACCGTCTTTCAGGCTCAGGCAGGTGTGGGCTGCTCTGCAGACTTCACATCTTTTATTGGTAAAATGTCTCTTTTGCGATCAGAGAAACGACTCGGAGGCGAGTTGATCGCTGTGGTGAGTCCAGATCCTGAGCTCCAGCTGTTCCACACAGAGGAGGAGGAAACTGGGATGGGTTCTGCTGCAGAGAGAGACCATGCTGGTGGTCTAGCCATTTTAAAGGATTTGTATTTATTTATTTAACTACTAATAGATTACAGCAACAGAAATGCTACTAAAACACACAATTATGTGAAGCGGGAAAAATTAGAATTCTGTGCAAAATTACATTTATTTTACTCATTTAACTAGACTGAGAGACCATTTAAAGAGCAAGTCACCCCAAAATCAACATTTCTTCACTGATAAACTAGGTAAATGAGCGTCTGATCGTGCTCTAGACACGTGTACTCAATAATTTGGCACTTTAGTGCATCTTAGTTAAAATTTAAATATTCTGCTTAAAACTGTCAGTGTTGCGCCCTCTTCGGGTAAAAACTCTGCACTGCATTTGGATTTAAATATGCCATAGCTGTTGGCTAAGTGGTACAGTGTGATGTCACAATGCTGTGAGCCTGTGTGTGTGTGTGTGTTTGTTTGTTAGCGGCTCCGCCCTCTTGGTCTGCTAGGCAACAGCATTTGATGCATTTTTCAAACAGGAAGTGGGAGTGGAGTAATACTCTGGTAGGGGGTGACTTGCTCTTTAAAGGCTCAGGAACCTTTACAGGTGTTTCTGTTTGCCATTTTACATTTTAGCTGATTGAATGTTTCTGTTTGTGATTCTGCCTGTTAAGTGCCCATTTATTTCAATTATTCAGTATTATAAAAACAATAGGACATTCATTTTATTATGTTCTTAGTAACTTATACTTCAGTACTGTAGTCATTTATAGTAAATTAAGTACGTTTAATTTAGAGGGGAACCCATTTTTCTTGCATTCTTTAAAGAAAAACAATAATGAAGTAGATATTTTTCTTGGTGATTAGTTACTTTTATAATCTTGTAACTCAGTAACTGAGTTACTTTTTTGACAAAGTAATCAGAAACTATAACTAATTACTTTTTTAAAGTAACACTCCCAACACTGGCTATTTGTGATCAGAAATTCTATCAACGCCAGATCAAATTCCCACTCAGTGGACCCAGAACCTTCAGCATCAGCAGTCCGTATCCATATCCATGTGAACAGGAATATGACGACAGCTCTGATGCTTTGTTATGCCTGAGTCATGCTTCTCCGTCAGCTCCAACAGGGAGAGACACGTACGCACGGACAGAGACCGTCTCCTCGGGAGTGTTGCTAAGCAATTCCCCGCCAGGACAGCAGAGGGCGTAGCGCTGTTCTGTGGTATCCTGTCATGTATCGGCCCACGATAGAGTGTTTATATTGTGTTTTTGTATACAAGAGACTTTTTAACACAGATAAATTTGTCTCTCATCCTCCTCCACCTCTTCATGCACTCGCCACCTCTAAACCCACGTTTCCTGTCGTTTCCGTCCACAAATAAAACGCTTGTTGCGCATCTTTTCACTCCTCCAGTCACGGGGGATTAAACGTTCATGTTTTTAGAGTTTTTTCGCGAGGTATTCTTCAAGCGTCTCCGTGTGTGCCTCTAGTTGTCTTCGGCTCTCTTTATGGTTTTGAGGGCACAAAGGCGGCGGTGTAGACGACAGCGGCGTCCTGACCAATCACAAGCTTGCGTTCTCCGTCTCGACGGACGGATGTTTAGAAAAGAGAGCTCGACTCCGTCCGTCCTTACGGAGCTCTCCAGCAGGCCCGCAAGGACGGATAATGGCGTTGCGTGTCTCCGCGCTGACGCGGACGCATGACTCGGGCTTTAGGAGGAGGAGGAGAAACAGGCTCCAGCCAGGGCTGAGCCTGACCCATCGAGGCGCCTCAGAAACCAGATCCAGAGTCTTGCTGCTGCTTACTACAGCTTAAATTCACTGCAGCAAGGCTGGACCCGTAAACACACACACACACACACACACACTGGCAGCAGACACACGAACCGTATTAAGTCACTGGATGACGGAACGAATGCAGGCTGGGTTGGAAGCAGGTGATGCTGATCCCTGATCAGGTGTGTCACAGGGACAGGCGTGCTTTGACACCAGCAGGTGGAGCGATCTGAACCTGAGGAGCAGGAACACGCAGCAGAACTCTCACCTCCACCCGTTTGGACTTTTCTCACCTAAATAAACAACCGCATGAGCGGCTGCCGTTTCCAGCCCTGAACCAAGCTCCATCATCCAGCTCTCAGGAGAAAGATCCTGTTTGAAAGGTTTTTATTCAGTAATGAAGTAAATGATCTGATCTGGAGTGACGCCGCGGCACGCGGGCACACAGAAGAGCAGGGACCTGATGGCGCTGTCATTTAATAATTTAGTGAATGGCTGAACTTCATGTGTGTCTGAGTGGCGTCACAGTGGAGGAGAACAGATTCTGCTAAACAGAACAAACTTGTTTATGTTCCTGAGGTCCGCACGGCCAGCTAACACCCACATCGCAGAACATCACGAGTCAGACAGAGGTTCTGCTTTGTGCTCCTCACACTCCAGCAGAACCTCACAGCTTCAGCTTTACCTTGTTCTGGTCAAGATGCTTCACAGAGGTCTTCTCAGCAACGACCTGAAACAGAAACACAATAAATGTTTATCATCATAAACTCAACGGGTCACGGACCTGCGGGACTTCAGGGTTCACCTCAGAGATCCTGTTCTAAACAAAACCAGTCCTGGTCCAGATCCTGATCCGTAATGGACCTCTAACGGAGGTCATAGACCTGCAGCAGCAGAGCCAGGACTGGATTTCTGTCTGAATTTATTTATTTCAGACGTAAAATACAAACAGAAGGAAGTTCTGAGACGGTCCACTCCAGCATCACGTGACCCGCTTCTTTATTTATCACCACAGAGGACGAGATCGGTGACTTCCAAACGCTCCGTGTCCTTCAGGACCACTTTCAGCTTCCAGAAGACGGTCCTTGTGGAGTCCAGAGAGGAAACGGGTTTAAATATAGTTGCTTAATGTCCGTCAGGTCTGGTTTACACGTTTTGAACGAGTTTGGGTCAGAACCAGGTTTAAGAGTTTTAAATCCCTGCCCAGAACCAGAACCAGAGTCTGCAGGATTTATGCTCCTCCTCTCTGGTTCAGAGTCTCTCAGCAGCAGCAGGACCCTGGAGGGAAGATTTAGTTTGTCCTCCACAGAAGAGGGGACGTTTGTCTCCTTTAATTATTCATCCTTCACATTACAAACAGCTAAAGGCTGTTTGGGAGCAGCGGTCATCAGTTAGACTCCTCCCCCTCTCACCTGTCCTCCACCTGCTCACCTCTGTGTCTGTGTGTGTCCCTCTGGTTTAAGTTCTGGTCCTTAAACACCAGGGTTGCTTGGATCCAGAACCTGAACTTGGTTCTGACAAATATCTCAGACATTCTGACGTGTTTCTAAATAACTCCTATTGTTGTAAATGGCTTCCTGAACAGCCTCTGTTCAGTGAAATAGTTTACATCCTCCGCGATTGACGCGCTAACGGCTAGTCTGAGGGCTGGTAGGACCAAAGTGTCGCTGAACTGTCGACAAAGTTGACTGTTACTACTATGTGAAGCGCCTTGAGACGACTTGTCGTAATTTGATGCTATATAAATAAACTTGAATTGAAAAAGTTAACGTGAGGTCACCAATGGGGGTTTCAGCACAAATGTCAACTTCCTGCTGCACTCGACCGCTGGAAGACCTGGTAGACCCAGATTAGGATCAGAACTTTGGATGAGAGGTGAAACATATTCAGTCATCTCTGAGGTGAGTCAGTTTGGTTTCATCGGTAGATAAATCAGAGCATCGTCTGCACATGTAAAACTTAACTCGTTCACTGCCAATGACGACTACCGTGTGGGCGTCGGACGAGGCCCACACAGTGAGAACAAACACCTCAGCTCTGAAGCAGATCTTCATCCGCATATGTCACACGTCACATGATCAGGAAGCAGAACATCCATGTGTTAGGAGATGGTTTTGGGCCGCTGCTGTAAAAAAAGTGAGGCGCGAACCGGAAAAGCTTCTGCCGATCACAATTCAACAACGGATTATGAAAGAACGGATAATGCTCGAAACGCGCGGATTCTTCCTGATGTAAGAGGTGAGTCTCCGCTTTTTCGTTGTTTTGGCGTCAACATCATCCTAGCGCGCAACGTTCTGTCACTCTTAAAAAAACAGTAAAAACAACAAGAAACGCTGGCAGCGAATGAGTTAACTGCGCCTGGTATGGACCCCGGCGGGACGCCACAGTTAACGGCTTTCATGTCCCTCTTGTGAGCCGTTTTAAGCCTTTGTCCAGTTTTTTAAACTTTAAAAAAGACTTTGTGACAACGAGCCAGTTTCATAAATTTAATTAACTTTGTCCGGAAAAATTAAGCTTTACTCAATTAAAATATCTTTAAAAGTATTAAATACGTCTGGAATTACAGAACAGCACTTAACCCTGGAGTGGATCCTCATTCTGGATGATTTCATGCTTAAAAGCTGCTTTCAGTAAGAGCAAAAGGATTTAAACAACCTTCTGACTGTTCTCCGTGTTCGGGCCAACAGTCAGGATCACATCAGCTGCTCTGCTGGAGTAAAAATAGAGAACGTTGTGTTGATTTATCCGTTGTCATGGCGACTCACAGCTACACCGTTCCTCCACCGGGCCGGAGTTCTCTTCGTGTTTCCTCTGGAACAGAAACGCCGGCAGAGCGGCTGAATTTAATCACAAACTGGCTTCAGGTTGACCCCGACCCGGCGGAGGGACACTAGTTCACCTCGCTGGTCTGGTTCTGACCCGCTGATTCCACACTTGCACCTTCTCTCACTGCTGTTCTGTAACGAATAACATCCCCAACGAGCCCGGCGTAGCTGCACCACCCCACCCCCGTCCTGGGAAGTCATCTCCCATTAATTCATTAGAAGATGAAAACAGAGCAGGTCGGACACAAAGACCGAACGGGAGCCGCTTCCTCTTCTCCTCCCTGCAGGCGGTGCATCCATCCAACCTACGCGCAGACAGAAATAGACGAATGGAGGTTCTGCTGGGAGGTGACCTCTGGACTCACATGTAGACTGTATACACACATATATTCATCCCAATGCAGCGCTCCGACCCTCCTATAGGCGCTGCAGAGGAACTCCCGCGGTTCCCTGTGACTCACTGCTGATCGATGACTCCACGCTCTGTTTTCTGTTTCTCTCCAGCTTTTATAAGAGACCAGAACCTCGATGGAGACCCGCTGGGTCTGTGCTGAGCCAGAAATGGTCCCATTTAGAGAAGCAGACTTGCAAAAGATGTTTCTGATTCTGGATGAATCAAAAAGGACCAAAACTTCAAACTAAAGGCTCCTCATTCCCAGAAAGGTTACACCGGAAGAACAACTCGATAGGTGAAAACTCGGAGCTTTTTATTGCTGCAGACGTTAAAACATCAGCGGAGAAACGCGAGACGACTTTGGGAAGAGCTAGAAACCAAACAGAGACGGCACAGCTGTTACCCCAGGCTTGATGCAGAGCGGGGTGGGGGATGGAGCTCCTGGTCCTCTACCTGCTGCTCAGGTGACCAAATGCCAGCGATAGTCAATACCAGCAATGAAATAGTAATTTAGCTGTTTTCCGATTTGTCTGTCAAGTTCAGGTCCGTTCAGGAACATTCGGCTCGTCTCTGAGGCAAACGGTTCGGGTTCGGGAAAAAACACAAAGTTATTTCATGTCTGAATAAACCTTTTATTTTGAAATGTTCCTCTCGTGACAAAGACCAATGACGGAAACAGCTGTGATGATGACATTTGTCCCACAGAACCCGCCAGGTTCAGAGAACCAGAGCAGTGACCCGGTCAGCTGAGGGTCCAGCGGGCCTGGTACCTGCGCGGACGTTGGTTTCTGAGGAGCGGTTGTATTTATGGAGAAACTCGTCAGAGTTCTGCTGGTTGTGTATTTTCTTTGTTTGGGTTCGGTCTGCACCGTTAATCAGGAATGTGGAGCAGCAGCTAGCGGGTCACAACGGGATCTCACTCTCCGGTCCCGAGTCCAGATCTGGATTTAACATCTGCCTCTCAGAAGCTCACCTGATACCAGCGCCACTTATCGCGCCGCATCGCCTCGTTTCACCACAAAACGACAAACTCACACCAGCATGTGATTTTAGATGGTTCTGATCCAGAGTTGCACATCTGGACAGGTTCGATGGCTCGAGGAGTCTGAACTGATTGCTTCAGTCCTGCAGAGACACCCAGACAGTTCTTCTGGGTTCTTCTGGGTCCGGGACCTTGTTAGGAACCAGATTCATGAACGTTTTATTAATTATTAAAGTTCTTCACATAAAGATTAAGGTTTTGGTTTCCTGATTCAGGAGCAAGAGGAGCCAGAAGAGCAAAACCTCGGGTTGGCCCGGGTTGGTGAACTCGGAGGGATGTAAACATTCAGAATGACAACCGCAGGGAATTCCCTCGAGAGCAGATCTTCCCTGCAGCACAAGATCCGGTTTCACTTCAAACAGAACCTCAGACCGACCCGATCCCAAACGCCGGCGCTGAGCCAAGCCCATCAGAGCCAAATAATAGAACCGAATCCAGAACCTGGAGTTTGGACTCTGGATGCAGGTTCAGAACAAACCATGTGGGCAAAATCCAGGACAGCCTGGGAGAACTCCCAACAGGAAGACTTCAGCTTTGCATTTTCATGTTTCCTTACATGTGTGACGTGATACGGCGGGAAAACCCTGAAGCTTCAGGAGGACCTAACCCTAACAGCGGCCCAGCCGACCCGCGTGACCCGGCTCTGCTTCCAATAAAACCAGAACACAGAACCCGGTGCCCGATTCTCCTCACGTCCACCTCAAATCCCCGGAACGAGGAGCGGCGAGGAGACGATGAAGGAACATTTACCATCTGTAATCAAAAGAACTGGACTCTCGCCTCCTCCCTTCTCTTCAATTTCCTCCCTCCTGTTGCAGAGCATGAGCGGCATACTGATGGTGGGATTACACACACACACACACACACACACACACACACACACACTGGAGTAATGACTTTCTGCCTCTGCGCTCCATTCGCTCCGAGCAGCTGATTCCCACCGGGTTTCTGTGAAAGAACCTGAAAGAGCAAAGAGACACGAGGGAGGCGATACAACATCTCCAATTAGCGGGGCTGGTGGTCTTTTCAGGATGGGGGCAGCGTGCTGGCTGGAACAGAACTCCACAGAATGGATCCAGGTCTGCAGACCAGCTCTGGGTCCAGAACCTTCAGGTCCATCTGAATCCACCTTTAAATCTGATTACTGCGTCAGAAGTTTCTAAATAATAGAAATGACGAGATGTTTTTTTTACAGGAACCAAAAGAGCAGAAACGCTGCAGCCAGGAGATGAAGAACAGAACCGGTTCTACAGCGATGCCTCCAAACACGAGGGAGGCCAAGGAGATGAAGGAGGAGGAGGTCAGACTTTTGTTTATGTATAAAATCCTCCAGCTCTGATTTCAGCCTCCTCTTCCTCGCCTCCATGTCTGTGACCCTGGATGTTGCCTCCCTCCCTCTCGAGGGTTTAAGTTCTGGATCATAAAGCTAAAGCCTTCAGGATTAAAATCTCAGATGTACCACGGAAAAA